AAAACCCCCACGTGTACCCGGAACGTACTGAATTAAAGGGTTTAAAACAGTCACAAAGTAAATTCATAATAATACTAATTCTCTATTCCTTTTATTCTTAGCCTCAATGTTATTAGAACACAAACACATTAGGGAAAAGACTTCTTCAGCTGTATAATATCTAGCAGCACCATGACTCCTGTAGACAGCTTATTCTGGTTCCATAACTAATTAGCTGTGTGATCTTCAGCCAAAGATTTTTTTTTTTAATTTTATTTATTCATTCATGAGAGCCAGAGGGAGAGAGAGAGAGAGAGAGAGAGGCAGAGGGAGAAGCAGGCTCCCAAGGAGCAGGGAGCCTGATGCGGGACTCGATCCCAGGACTCTGGGATCATGACCTGAGCCGAAGGCAGACGCTTAACCATCTGAGCCACCCAGGCGCCCCAGCCAAAGATTTTTAATCTGTGTTCAAATTCAGAGATCCATGGACTTGAAAAGGGAAAAAAATACATCTCTATTTTCTAACCCTCAGCATTTACTTTAATTATGACTGTAGGCAATAAAGCCCCACTTGTACCAAACTGAAATCATAGGTATTTTCATATCATATCACGGTTACTGTAGATATCTTAAAAAAATCATATATGCTCACCACTAATTCAAAAGTATGGTTGTTATGAGACCTGCCACTAGATCTTGTTATCTAGTGCATTAATAAGCACATATATTACAATATCACAAATTTTGAAAAATATCTTGACAGCTGTATTTCAATACAACTGGGTTTCATTTTCAATCCTTCATAGTTGACTTTATGCAGTTAAAATCATTACTCTAAGAAAGTGATCCACCGGCTTAACCAGATGACCAAGGGAGTTCAAAGGAGTTCAAAAGTTTACTTTGTGTTAAGCAATTCATTTTACCTCTTTAGACACTAATTTCCTCTCTTTAAAGGGAAACTGTACTAGTTATTCTCTGAGACCCTCCCCTCAAGAGCTGGATGGGAACCCACAGCACACCTGAATGCATTAACAAAGACTTACAAGGGTCTGCTTTCAATCTTTACACCAGCATTTGAGAGTCTACGCTACCAAGCTAAATGCTTTCAGATTAATGGGGCCTAGCAGAACCAAACAGATGAAGAGCTAATGGTGAAAACAAAGGTTCTCCCACATTACCTTTTATTGCATTGTAACAATATAGATCACAAACAATAATGAATTATTTTGCAAAAAAAAATCAACCATCACATAATCAGGGATTGTTATTGATATAAATAGCTTGTTTGGGTGCAGACTTAAACATAACATAAATGTTTCAAATCATCAGAAGAGTAACCTGGATATATATCACTAAAGTTTGCTTTAAGTCTAAATAAAAGCGATTATACCCTCCTATCCTCAAACAGAAAAATTTCAAGAAAGAAAGGAAGACAGAAAGAAAAGGAGAAAGAGAAAGAAAAAGAAAAAGAAAAAGAGAAAGAAAGAAAGAAAAGAAAAGAAAAAAGAAAAAGAAAAGAAAAAGGAAGGAAGAAAAGAGTGGCTTGGGAAGCACACTTGTTTCTAAGCACTTGGCATGGAACACTTCACACCGGGATACTAATGGACTAGAACTTTAAAGAAGCAAATCTATTGGTCCTCTCCCTTGATAGAGAGATAATACACATGGGTCATTTAGGCCCTTCTAAATGCTAGAGATTGAGCCAACAGAGCTATGTTTAAGAACTAAGAAAGCCCAGACAGATTACATTTCAGTCCCCATAGAAAAATCTAGGCTATGTCAGGAGCAGCCAATAATGGCACCAAGATAATATAAGAGTAGAGACTGCCAGCCTCCCTTAGCAAAATTCAAATTGAGATCAAAGCGCTACCCTCACACAGAGTAGCTGTGAGTCATTAAAATGGTTCAAAATGTCTATCATATGGTTTCCTTCACCTAGAAACGCAATCCAACCAGCAGACAATCACAAGTGATAACTATCCCCCCCAAAGTCCAACAAGCCAATTTTCCTAATTATATTTAAATGAGTCTGTCTACTCTATGCTTTCTTATTTTCTCAACAGCACATCTCATTTTTTTTTTTTTTAACTTGCAAAGATAAAGACAGACTGAAGGCTCTCGCTTCGCGCATTTAACCAAATCATATTGTGGTGAATGGGAATGTGGGGAGAGGAACTGAATTAAATCATCATAGAAATTAGGTTAGGGCTTTACAATGTCACCTCAACACCAAGGACAAGCAGTTACTGAATGCATGCTCTGTATCTGGTATTGTGACAGGGATACAGAACCATAACCTTCTGATTGAGTGAGCCCAAAAATAAAAGGATAAGTAACAAAGGATGGCACAATGTCATGATTGTCAGGAGAGGCAGAAAGGTTTGGGAAGGTCTGGCTCATACCAAATCTGGGGAAACAATGGGAATAGATTTGAGCCCTGAGGAAAAGGCCGGATTGGGGAGGAGGCAGACGTGGGAGGGCACTCTGGACAGGGGACAGGCACAAGGCAGCAAATTCCCAAAGGAGAGACTCTCCACTGCATATTGCACAAGTGCAAAGAAGGGCAGTGTCTGCACTGGTGAGTTCATGAAAGAAGCCAGCAGAGATAAGGTTGGTAGAGACAGGTTGAACAAGATTTTCATAACCCTGAAAGTTGGGCTCAAATTAGACTTTACCCTGTAGGCCAAGGAAGGCTTCCAAGCAGGGAGGTGTTCCGAACAACAGTGAGTTTTAGGAATAAACAATGGTGATTTATCTCCTCGGCTAATCTGTCCTAACAGTGGGTCCTTTTGTCAAACCAAAATTAATCAGAATCTATTGTGTCTAGTAAAATAAGTGTGCCAAATTATATCCTGGGGCAATTTTGCTACCACCGATGCCCTGGAAATGCAATTCAAATACTTCTGACTGATGATAAATAACTGGGTAAACTGACTCCAGAACAGGAAAAAAAAAAAGTATATTAAAAAGAAAACATGTCATACTTGCTCCTATGACTATGGCAATTAAAACCATATTTGGGGGGTATGCTTGCATGAACTACACAAAAGTCCTAATAGTTTTGGATCCTGTTAAAATTAAAACCGATAACTTTGTTAGTAATTAATGATTAGGCATATGCTTTAATTTAGTAGCACTCTGTAACGCTCAAAAATAAAGAAATTGATTCCCTCTATCTTAGACCATTTCACCTCCATAACTATTGGCGACTTACTGGCAACTGCGAGAAGCCTCATGACCAAATTATAACCAGGTAGTCTGGGGCAGAAGAAACACATACTTATTTCCGAGTTGTAACGACAGGAGAGTGCAAGGATTCTAAATAAAATTTAAGAGGAAACAAGTTTTTTGGAATAGAGGGAAAACAAGGAATTACGTATATAGAATATATATTATTATATATACAGACACATACATAAAGGGTCATAATTAAGAATACTATAGTAAATGTGAAAGGGTTTGGTTGTTGGTTTTTTTAACTGACTCGTGATTAGAGTTGAAAAGCACTTGGAGGATAAAAAAAACAACAACAAGAGTATCTTTAAAAAGGGGGCACCTGGGTGGCTCAGATGGTTAAGCGTCTGCCTTCGCCTCAGGTCATGATCCCAGCGTCCTGGGATCGAGTCCCGCATCGGGCTCCCTGCTCCTTGGGAGCCTGCTTCTCCCTCTGCCTCTCTCTCTCTGTCTCTCATGAATAAAT